TATATATTTCTCGTAGCCATACCCAAAGCCTGCTATATATTCTGATGCGAGGCATACGTTCGAGCGCGACACTGAAAGAAGTACACCTTAGATCACATGATCATAAGTCACACTCCGGCCATTTAGCAGGTGTAACCCCCGTCATAATTACGCAATTTTCGCCATGCCCCGATCATGTGTATTTGCATACGAATTTCTTTATATGTATATATACAAATAGAGGTAATATGTTCTGAAAGTTGCTCACTAAATATACGTTTGCGCAACTGCCCATCTCTGCGGCTCATACTCGTGTGTACAACAAACTTCATATTTGGCTACAAAGCGCACGCCACTGAGACACCGGCCAGACCACATACTGATGAGGGAAAGACAAGTCACACTCAGGCACAACACAGCTGGATATGGTGATACACATACGCACTACACATACCACTGGTACCTTACCGCATGTACAACCGTGTGACTCATATATGTGTCGATAAGCATGTTGTACTTAATTAGGAGTCTCACACCAGCGACACTCCGGACACGCTACAACATAACCCATGTGAAACTGGCGATACATGAAGGCAATTTAAAACATCTCCGAATCACTACACGGGATACTTGCAAGGCCGTACGTCTTTCTACCTTTACTTTACATATTAAGCACAACCTATACTTGTATATAGTTAAATGCACCTTTACTTTACATATTAAGCACACCTATACTAGTATAACGCTATATGCACGTATACCTGTAATTACATATATACCTATATTTATATATACCCATTCCTTGCACAGCTGGGAATCTCACACCGGTGAGACACCAGATGCGCCACAGCCTGACCACGAATGGGTTAGTCAGACCTTGGCCACCGCTCAAGTGGAGTTAGCGGATCGGGAACGGGATATCAAAACGGGCAAGAGCAAGAACCTCAAGGCTTCCGTATGGATAGGGTATACGGATCTGGCCAATTTCCACTTTCTGAGGGGTATGTGTGTAATGTTAAGGCGAAGACGGTCTTCTGGGTTGACATTATAATCTACGTGCATTGGGATTAACTTTTAGTGTCCAGTCTTTGTGCATTCACTTAGATTATATGTGCAAATACAATCACCTGGGAACACATATAGGGAGGATATGATAGCGCATATATAAAAACAACATGAATTGAACACACCAGCGGTACAACTCTCTCATTATACTTATAAAGGAACTACTATAAACCGGTATGAACTATTATAAATCGGTATGCATAAAAAACGTCGTATTTGGACTATATTCAAGCTACTCACGCATCTGATTTTTTGTAGGCGAGTGGGCCGAAGCGTCGAAGAACTACATGCGAGCCAGGGACTATATCTCAAGTGTTGCGAATGAAGTGAAAGTGTGCGAAGGTGCTGTGCGTGCGTATGCACAGCTGAACGACTGGAGAGAGGTGGCCAACTTTGTTATGCGGGCCGAGAGGGTGAAAGGCTTTGACAAGATGGAGAAGGTATGCGTGAAACAGTGTGTAACGTTGTAGTATTACACATTTCAAAGTCTTATATCAAGTTTGTCATAGATCAACATGACAAACTCTCCAGTCTCCAATAAACCTGGCTCTTAATATAAGACTCAATAGTGTGGGATATTTAACCTCTCACTCCTGTTCGTTGAATAGCGACAAAAAATTGCTCGTAGGATCCCAATATTGATACAGCCGGTCTTCTTTACTAACTATAACACCATGTAGGTGTAGAGCAATCACATCGACTACCCACTCCCTGTAGTTGGTTAGCCGCATTCTTCTTCACTAACTATAACACTATGTAGGTGTAGAACTTTGCACTAAAATCACATCGACTACCCACTCCCTGTAGTTGGTTAGCCGTATGAAGTGCTACCTGGGCGTGTCCCATCTGATGCGTGGAGAGTACAAATCTGCAGCGCAGTTGTTCGCAGGCGTGCATGCGGAATTTATCTCCGACTGGACGGAGGTAGGTAGTGTGGGATGAGCTATATGGTTTGTGGCTCTGAAGATGTGTGTACAATCGTGTCGTGTGATATTGTATGATAGGTAGGTAATGTGGGATGAGCTATATGGTTTGTGGCTCTGAAGATGTGTGTACAGTGGTTGATCACCATGCGTGTCATGCGATATTGTATGATAGGTGGGTATTGTGGGATTAGCTATATGGTTTGTGGATCTGAAGATGTGTGTACAGTGGTTGGTCATCATGCGTGCCATGTGATATTGAATGATATTTATTCCTGATTGGTCCTTATTTTATTTTATTTTTTGGGGGGGGGAGGGGATAGCGCTCCTATCTACTGCACATATGTTCCACGACCACCTCAGCCTCAGAGAAACATTGCGCACTGTCTCAGCATAGAAAGGGCATCGTTTTCTTGAAAACTGGGCCACAGTATCAGGTTTATATATTTACTTTTTTCCGATTTAGATGATGACACCACGAACCTTAGCGCTGTACGGAGGACTAACTCTGATGGCTACAATGGACAGACCCGTGTTCAGGAGGATTATGGAGAGTGTTGAGTAAGTTGTATATATATACTTTCTTTTATTATTGTATATGTATATGTATGAGAATAGGTTCGCGTCCAAGGTGTGCAACCGAATTGCATTTACTTATACATAGCGCTAGAGAATAATCGGGGTTGAGGGCTTGCCGATGCGATTTGTGCATATATGAGGTATAAATTGTCACACATGTATATTCAGAACTCCATCGCTGTTCTCTTAACAATTCAGTATATACATATCCAGCGATACGAAGAGTTGTTCACTACATATAGGATAGGCCCGTGCGCCTAGAATTTGGATGTATACCTCATTGTTATTTAGGATCTCCTGCATCTCTCCCTACCTGTCAATAGGGACATACGGATATATGTGTCTATGCAGATCAGTATGTGTGCATATGTGTATATTTCACAATCTCTGATGTGTATAGACACATCCACATACTGGCCGGACCACCAGTTGGAGAGTATCGTTCGCGTATTTCGCAATGTTTGCCTGTTGTTATCATTGACTATACTTAGCGTACTTAGACATTTGATATTTTTTTTATTAGCATTCGTTCTAAGTCTCCTTTATAAATGCCGATGGGCCAATGCCAATATGTTCTACAGACACGTGGTTGCCCTTCGCACGCATACTATGTGTCCTATATTTTTTCTGATCATCAAACCCTCCTTTGGATAAGTGTGCGGTTTCATTGCAATATTAGTGTATACCACTTGCCTTTTGCCTTAAGCTTCTATAAACTTTGTCTCCTACATATATTCTAACCTCCAACCGCGTCCTTTCTCCGCGAGTAAAGTTTCAGAGCAATTTTGACCCACGCGCCAGAGATGCAGGGCATTACTAAGGCATTCTACTCGTCGAAGTATTCGGAGTGCCTCCGAAGACTGACCAGTTTACAGGTGTGTGGGCGGAAACTCGGATAGATCAACATTCATACGCTATCGTATTGTGCTAGGTGTGGCACACTATCCGTTCTTGTACTGTGAGGTGTAGCATATTATCGGTTTGTTTAGGTATGAGCGTACCGTAGTACACCTATTAGGGACTCGCCGCTATTATACCGGATAGTGGTATCCTTATGGCCATATTTCGGACATGAATTCGCTGGATAGGACTAGCTCCATACGACAGATTCCCGTTCTTATTTCTTTTCGCCACAATTGCGCATATTAATTACCATTCTTAATTCCACATTGTCAAACCAGACCGACCTTCTGCTGGATTTTTATCTCAGCCGGCACGTCAATGCGCTGTTGAAAATGATCCGCGAGAAGGTATCCTTATATGGCAATACTGTGCACCTACATGCAGTCCTTGGGTGCAACAGTGTGTTCACACACGTGATATGGTTCGTATGGTGCGTGTTTATGCGTATATGTTGTGAGTGTGATTGTACGCATGCTTGGGTGTGTGGGAAAGCGCTTATATTCAAATATAACGTGTGCTCGTATGTGTGCGGGTGTCGAACACAGCTATTTATATCGCATTCCTTTCACGAATGTCATATATAT